GTCGCAATGTGGGACCGCAGGATGGTAACCCGAAATGGGCATCCGAAGACCAAACCGCCTCGACGTGGAACATCAACCTCGAAATCAACCGATTGTAGCCGGACGTTTCAAGGGCGGTGGCATGTTAAAGCGCAGTGTTGTCCAATTAAATGGTTCAGTGGTGGAAACCCACCCTGTTCATGAAAAACAAGCTTGCAGTCAAACAAACAAATCAACCTTCTCGTAATCGATTACAGTATGCCAATCTGTGAGTTGCGATAAATGCCATCACCTCAAACTGCAAAAGATCCAAAACAAGATCCTTAGGATGATGCTGAATTGCCTGGTTGGTCTTCAAAAAGCAGCGAAAAATGCTTATCTTGGAAAGATTCAGAGATTTTTATGGATCAACAGGGATATGGCACGTTAGGTTAAGTTAGATTGATAAGGTGGAATAAAAAAATTAAAACATTAAAACTAAACATACCTAGGGGGATACTAAACCACAAAAACATAAAACGAACAAATTAAATCATCAAGAAGTGTGCTTCTGCATCGTTTGAAAAAAACATGTAAATTTCTGCAATATCTCGAGCATATAAAATTAACGCTAGATGTGACATAAATTTACACAATATTTTGTGTCAATTTAAGCGCAATATCGCAATTATGCAAGCTTGTAAATGATTTCGTTGTTTATGCCAACTGTAGCTCAAAATTAAACGAGGGGAGATTTTGAATAATAGTTGAAATTAAGTATTTTTTTTCTGTGTGGCTAAACACTCTACACTGAAGTCTTTTTAACACGGTTTTTTACGCGGCTTTTTTATACGGTTTTGTTCGCGATTTACACGGAACATGAACGATTTCTCTACAACAAACCTATCACCTTGATTCTAATCACATTATTCATTTTAAGCTATAGGTAATCGAATGGCATGCTTTAAAAAAAATCACAATGGTGTAAATACAGAAATGTTTAAAATATGTCTATGGAACATAGCATACTATAAATACAAATGGCATAAAAATCCGATTTTTGTAAAACATTTAAGTAAGTGAAAAATCAAAATCTCGCAGGTTTTTTTTTCACACGGTACATATCCCCCGTGTAAAAAAGACCTGAGTGTATTATTTATAAACCACATTTCAAAACCATAGATACAGAAAATTTTCCTACTACTTTAACAAAAAATGGAATACCTGCTTGCTTGAGTTTCACAACAGATGTCGTTAAAGAATAACAACTACGACATATTAAATTGTATACTGATAGTAATAAAACAGTGATGAATTAATAAATGAAATCAGAATAGCGCCGATCAGAGAAAAACACAGTCTAGTATGACTGATTGCTTATGTGACTGCAGAAGTGGACTATCGATTATAAAGTTTATATTTTTGGAATAATATTGAAATCTTCGTAAATTTGTTTTTAATCTAACAGATACCCTGCAATCAGTATTTGTTCAATAAAAACTGGCAGCACACGGTAATCTATTGAATCCTCCAATTCTGATTAAAGTCTACCTTCAGGCATAATTTTCGCCCAATTTATCGAGGCTGTTGTTAGCTTTCTAAACCAAACATCCCATCATTAATCATTTGCCAACCGCTTCGCTGGTACCGGCTCATAATAATTCGATAATTAATAGTTCATAGCTGGCTCACGCTTTCAACGAGGATTACAGAACAAGCATTATAGTTTTCCATTAGCCCTATCTTGTTGCTGTGTGCATTTGGCATCTTTGGTTTCTAATTACATGCTCTTCTTCGGTGGTCGACAACTACAACAAATACATTCAAATCCCATCCAGAAGCACCCGGTGTTTGCCTTTCATATTAGTGAATACCAGAATGGAACGTGATAGCATACACAATTTCTGTCTGATTGATCCTGAGCAACGGCTTAATCCCCCGCAGATTCACAATGATAACGATGGTAGGAAGCTCGCATTGACCTTGCCCAAAGCCAGACGCTACCCACATTGATTGCGTTAAAGAGTGGGACGTTCAAAGTAATGAAAAAAAAACGGTTCTCTTGGATATATTTGGGGTTGCAGCTGGAATTGACCGAAAAGCAATCCTATGGACACGAAATGGTCACCCACAGGATTTAGATTATTTGATGATGTGGTGAAATTAGCAACTGTGTAAACACGATGAACGATTACAAGAAATACACTTTATGGCACAGTTTTGCAATGGCTATTTGTTCTGCAGAAAATCGGCTGAGGATTGTAAGCGTCCGTCGAATTATCTTAAAGAGAAACGTAGTGACTAATTTTTCTATTCTATGTTTGCTCACCAGCCGCTCTGAACTTTAAGTGAACGATGATAATCCTAAATGCCTTAAATGACCTAGTTTTTTTTAGAGGAAATGGCCAATGCCGACTCTTAATGACATTGACATTTCTATCAAATTCTAGAATGTTTATTTTTGTACTAAAGCCATCTTACGTTTAATAAAAAAAAAACAACATTATTCTAAAAATTGCAATCGTAGTACTGATATATATTTGAATTTGAATTGGTAAAAGAGGCATTTAAATGTAAATATTATACCATTTTATAGCAATTTATTAAATAAACAAACCATGCTATTAATTCAATATGTTGCATTGGAGATGGTTCATACCTTTTATTGGAAACCTATCCTAAACAAATACACCGCTTACATATGAAAAACTAATCATCTAATGCTGTGCAACGCTACAGGATTCTAATGCACAATAACTCAAAACATTGCAAGATGATCCGCGCAAAAATAAAGAAGCTTTTTTTCTTGTGTTAGGAACATAATACCACTTTCTTCTTCTTCTTCTTCTTCTTCTTCTTCTTCGCATTTCAAGCTTATTGCATATTGCATATTAGCTTACTGCGTGCTCTCAACTTAGTGTTCTAGATGCACTTCCACAGTTATTAATTGAGAGCTTTCGATGCCTGTACCATTTTTGCATTGGTATAATTGTGTGGCAAGTCCAATCATACTTCTATGCCCAGGGAAGTCGAGAAATTTTCCAAACCGAAAAATTCCTAGACCGGGCCGGGAATTGAACCCAGCCACCTCCAGCATGGTCTTGCTTTGTAGCTGCGCCTCTACCGACTGAGCTAAGGGAGGCCCCAATACATAATACCACCACGACCATTAATTTAATCTATAATAAAGGCTTACTCGGGTGCTTTGTGTACGTTTCAATTTAAAAGAAGCATGCAGATCTGTTCATTTCAACATGTTTGCAGTTACCAACAAAAAATCTTATGGTGTCCATATCCATAATCCGGATATATGTATGAATATTCACCAGCAGGGCATCGTTGTCTCCAAGCTGAAACTCAATTTTGAAAATGGATCATGAAGCATCATTCACTCGTTTCTTCCTCAGGGGAACTGGGGGTTAGACGAACAGCCGAGAAGAGCTTCAATTGTAAGATGGAAAATTCATGTTTTGTTTAACTTATATAAACTTTTGTGCAGTTCAATATACTGTTTCTCAAACTACCAGGTCAAATATTTTACAAAAAAAAAATAATGCATAATGATACACAATGAAATGCCGTTCCGGAAAATGCAACCACAGATTTTTGAGTAATTTGTCATGATGTATCAATAAGTTGGCTACGGATTATTTTCTGCTATGTCATGTTTCTTTCGATCTGTGGGAATTCAAATTTATGAAAAAAAAAATCAACTATAAGGTTCAGCGTTGGGATTGGGATTGGGGATTGTACTCATCAGATGCAAACAATGCTTCCTGACATGACAAATGGCGTGGAATCAAACAGCACATTTGAAGCATTTATTCCAGTCAGATTCCTGCAAAACATAGTACGAACTGTTTTTTTTACGTAGGACAACATCTTTGTGGAATGGGGTGCAAAACAAAAAATTGTGTGACGGAATAGTGTCAGGTTTTAAACGTTTATAACTTTGGCATTTATTGATGGATTTAAATTATTTTCACAACCCTTGATTCCGATTTAATGTAAGATTAGTTTGGTGTAAATATTATGGTAATGTATCATTAGTGTGTGTCACTGTTCAGTCTTTAGCCAACAGATTTGTAACACCTATATTATAAATTTCTTCACTACCAAGTGACTTGCTGCCTTTTTCCATGTCATTCAGATGCAGAAGACCTATTGATGATGCAAAGTTTGGTTTAGAAGTGTGTTTTTGAAATAATGATTTTTTAAATCAAAATTTTATTAGGTTCTTCTTTTCCTTCATAGTTACGTACCAACTGGAATTTAGCTTGTGTCTTCCTTTTTCATTTCAATTACTGTTTTGAGGCTGCCTTCAAATCCACAAAAAAAGGGAAAAAATAAATGGAAACCGCGAAAACTGTTACTATACTAAGTGGGATTTGACTTAATTGATTACAACATGGAATATATCAAGATTTTGACAAGATAGAAAGTTACTATCTCTGCCACAGTTGTTCAGTAGATCATAGCCTTGTCGCTGGCGGACAGTAGTTCAGAATTTTCTCACTACGTAGAGCTAGTATACATATGAAATTCTAGTATGTGATATATCTCGAGATCCTGACCAGATAAAAAGTTACTGTCTTTCACAAAGTTTTTCAGGAGATCAAAGCCTATTGCTTGGTGCTCAATAGTTCAGAATTTGCTCACTACGCGACGCTAGTATACACGTCAAATTCTCATATAAAATATCTCGAGTTCCTAACCAGATAGAAAGGTACTGTCTTCGGCATAGTTGTTCAGGATGTCAAGGCTTTTTCGCAGGTGGACAGTAGTTCAAAGTTTTCTCACTTTGCGGCGCTGCTAAAGATGTGAAACTCTTGCATATAAAATATCTCTAGATCCTGACCAGATAGAAAGTAAATGTTTTCGGCAAAGTTTTTCAGGAAGTCAAGATCTTTTTGTTGGGTGAAAATAGTTTAGAATTTTCTCACTATGCGGTGCTAGTATATACGTGCCTTTCTCCCATATTCAATAGCTCGAGATCTTGATCAGCTAGAAAGTTGCTGTTTTCGGCAAAGTTGTTTAGGGGGTCAAGCTCTTGGTGCTACGACACACCGTTGTATGCGAAGCATATTCAGTGCGGGAATTTGCTTATGAAATGCTCGCCATTCCTCACCCACCGTTCCAGGTAGTGGGTCGCCCCATTGCAGACATTGCCCGTGTTCGCCTTTCAAACACCAGAGTCTTTGCATGAATATTTTTGCTGCTGTGATCGTCGCACCGAGCAGTCCCAGTGGATCGAACAATTTCGCAATGAAGAAGAGCACTTGTCGCTTCGTTAGGATCTGGCCATCCGTTAGTGGTGGTATCGTGAACGAGAACTTGAAACAGTCCACGTTGGGAAGCCAGGTCAAACCCAATGTTTTCACCTCTGCATCCTGGTCCCAGTCGATTCCATTAGAATCCGGTAGCGCCAAATTCTCATTGGGAATGTCTTCAAGAACAGCTGGACAGTTGAAGGCCCATTTTCGCAACTTGAATCCTCCACTGTTCATCATTGCGTCGATTTGTCGCCTCAATTCGACCGCAGATTCGACGTCGTCCGCTCCAGATATAACGTCGTCCATATACACGTCCTCTTCTACCGCTGGTGCAGCCAAGGGAAACTGCTCTCGTTCGTCACTTGCCAGCTGCTTCAACGTACGAGTCGCCAGGTACGATGCTGATTTGGTGCCATATGTCACCGTCAGCAGTTCATACGCTACAGCGCTTCCATCGGTTCCCAACCAAAGAACGCATTGAAGAGGAGTGTCGACCAAGTTCGTCCAAATCTGTCGGAACATCTTCTCAACGTCGGCTACAACCATCACCTGACGTGTACGACTGCGGAGAACAATCGACCGTAAATCCTGTTGTACCACAGGTCCAGCATAGAGCGCATCGTTCAGTGAAATCCCAGAAGACGTCTTGCACGAAGCATCGAAGACCACCCTGACTTTGGTCGTGGTGCTTGACTCCTTGATTACAGGATGATGTGGCAGGAAACATCGTTTAACTGTCCCCTCCTCTTTATCGTCCACTCTTCTCATGTTACCGAGCTCGAGATATTCGGTCATGAAGTTGAAGTACTGCTTCTGAAGGTCTGGATCCTTTTCCAGTCGTCGTTCCACAGCTCGAAGACGTCGTAGCGCGATGTCTCTCGATTCGCCTAGTTCCGCTAAAACATTGTCGTTCTTAGGGAGAGTAACGGTGTATCGGCCTTCCGAATTCCGTTCGACAGTGCGCTCGAATTGCTCTTCGCAGCGCGTCTCGTCCGGAGATAACTTGTTGACGGCTCCCCCTTCCCCGCAGGACCAAAACCGTGCCATTAGCTCCTCCAGATTGCTCCGGATGGGAAGAAGCTGAAGAAAGCTTGGATGCCCATGACCAAGTCGACCTTTCTCGAGCGGAAGAATTCAGGATCTGCAAGTTCGATGTCTGCCGGTATGTCCCATCCATTTGCCTGCACTGTAGAAGTGGGCAGACAAGCTGTGACCTTCGGCAAGACGAGAAAATCCATCGGTCTAGAGTACGACGAGACTCGAGACTTGACGACGGCTTGAATCTTTCGTGTGACCCTCGTTCCGGATTGTCCGATGCCCAATATCGAAATATCCACCTTCTGGCTAGCAACCTTCATCAACTGACTCAGACCTTCAGAGATGAAGTTGCATTCCGACCCGGAATCTAATAGCGCGCGTGCCGGATAGCGAGAACCCTGGTTGTCCTCGATTACAACTACTGCCGTAGCCAGAAGTACCTGCGATGTCGGAAGCTGCGCCGTGTTTGACGATGCTGTCTCGACCGATGCTGCATTCGCTGCCTTGGGATCAAAACTCGAGTCGTTCCGGTTGCCAGTTTTACCCGAATTGGCCTTCTCGGGTGATCCATTCCTACTGCTTCTTCCTTCGCCCTTGAAGCACAGCAGTGTGTGGTGTCGAGCCTTGCAGTTGCGACACGAAAACTTCGACGAGCAATCTCGAGCTAGATGTCCTCGTTTGAGACAGTTTCGGCAGAGTGACTGTGCTCGTAGAAACGACTCCCTGCTGGACAGCGACATTTTCTGGAAGGCTGGACACGTATGTAGTCCATGAACCTCCGTACACGATGGGCACTTAGCGGTGTTCCACTGTACGGCGTTGTGGCTAACCTTCGGTGAAAACGACTTCCGTCTGGGTTGTTGTGGCTCGTTTTTGGGTTCTGCCTTCGCTGGTAGAGACTCCAGGATTTGAATTCTCCGATGTAGGAACTCCTGCAAGTCCTGTAGAGTGTCTTGCTCCTTAGCGGACGTGTGTTCCTCCCAGCCACGTCGAGTGACTGGATCCAGACGAGAACTCAGCAGTTCTACCAGCAGCAAATCCTTGTATTCGGCTGGTTCAATGACTTGATCCAATATCTGAATCGCACGATCGAATCCATCAGCCAGTTTGTGGAGATCCGTGACCGATTCCTTGGTAAGTGAAGGCAGTTTCACTAACGCTTGTACTTGCTTCCTCTTCAGTAGCTTGCTGTTGTTGAAGCGTTTTAGCAACGACTCCCAAGCTATTTTATAATTTTCGCTAGTAATCTTCAGCGGATCGACTAGCGCCTTAGCTTCGCCTGCTAAGCAACCCTTCAGATAGTGAAATTTCTCCACATCCGGAAGTTCTGCTTTCTCGTGGATCAAGGACGTGTAGAGATCCCTGAAACTCAGCCAGTCATCGATGTCTCCGTCGAAAGTCTGGAGCTTGATTTGCGGCAGGCGTACACGGTCCATTGTACCATGTGTACTGGTGGCGTCCACACTCCGTGTTGACTGGTTTAGGGCTGCTTCATCCTGGAACTCCTTGACCTTCTCCATCAAGAATGATTTCGCACCGTAGTAGCGATTCTCGAACTCCAGTTGCTCCTTTTCGACACCTTCTTGCTCTTCATAGTCCTCATGCGATTCGATCTCCCAAGAAGTCTCACTAATTTGCTCCCACAACAAATCTATACGTTCGAGGCGGACATTGACCTGACTAGCTGTTGTACCCTCTTTATAATACCTAACGAACTGACTAATGTTGTTTAACGACGCTCGAAGACCCTTGAGTTTTGACTTCAACGCTTTCAAGGAGTCGGTTGACCTAGTAATCTTCGTTGACATGGTTGTTGTTGGAGGAATCACGGTACGGAAACGAAGAACCAAGAGCCAGTCAGTTGGTAGGTACTAGTTGTTGATCCTCTCGAAGTTTGGCGAAACGTTGGAAGATCAGAGAATCGAAAGGAATCCACGATGTAGTTTACAAATTGTCTGCTTCGGCTGGGCATATACTGTTCAACTCACCTGTGAGAGGAACCAGTGGTGCTACCGAAGCCAGATAGCAGTATATTCCAAAACGGTGCGCCTCAAAACGTACAATCCGTAACCTCAGATTCGAACTCGAGCCAGTGAAGAGCGAAAGAGTGGAAAAGCTAATGTAGTAATCTATATTTGAGCTTCGGCTGAACATATACCGTTCGGCTTACCCGTGCAAACGGCAGTCTGTACCAGCAGCAGAATCCAAATTTGGCTCAATCACGATAACTATCCTCTAGTCACGAATGTATACAAACGGCAAGATCGTCTCGATTATTTATCCAGTGCAGCAAAGGAGAAAGTACCAATGTAAAGGGTGATACGGTCAAAATTTGGTCAAGGGAAAACGCGTGTAAATCGGTGAAATCGTTTATTTAAAAAATCAAATTAAATTTCTTTTTCAAGTTCAATTAGTATAAAATTCAGGAAAAATATTCAGTTAGGCTTCCGCTTTTCCAAATCCGAATTGCCGGGCCTTACGCTTGACCCCTGCCATCAGATTTTGTACAGCCACCTTGTCCACCTTCTTCGCCGCAGAAAGCCAGTTTGCCTTGAACTGCTGCTCGCCCTTAGCAGTTTTTTTGGTCTTCTTTAGGTTCCGCTTGACAATAGCCCAGTATTTCTCAATTGGGCGGAGCTCTGGCGTGTTGGTAGGGTTCTTGTCCTTGGGAACCACCTGCACGTTGTTGGCGGCGTACCACTCCATGGCCTTTTTACCGTAATGGCAAGATGCCAAATCCGGCCAAAACAGTACGGAACAACCGTGTTTCTTCAGGAAAGGCAGCAGACGTTTATTCAAACACTCTTTCACGTAAATTTCTTGGTTGACAGTCCCGGAAGCTATGAAAATGCTGCTTTTCAAGCCACAGGTACAGATGGCTTGCCAAACCAGATATTTCTTTGCGAACTTTGACAGTTTCATGTGCTTGAAAACATCTGCTACCTTTCCCCTTCCTTTTGCCGTATAAAACTCCTGTCCCGGAAGCTGCTTGTAGTCGGCTTTGACGTAGGTTTCGTCGTCCATTACCACGCAGTCAAACTTCGTCAGCATCGTCGTGTACAGCCTCCGGGATCGCGCTTTGGCCGTCGTATTTTGTTTATCATCGCGATTTGGAGTCACTACCTTCTTGTAAGTCGATAGTCCGGCTCGTTTTTTGGCTCGATGCACGGTTGTAGACGATACACCCAGCTTATTTGCGGCATCTCGGAGAGAGAGGTTAGGGTTTCGCTTGAAACTACCGGCAACTCTCTTTGTCGTCTCAGCGGCTTCCGGTTTTCGATTTCCCCCCGATCCAGACTTCCTGACTGTCGACAAACGTTCCCCAAACACTTTAATTACATTTGTAACGGTTGATTTGGCAACTTTTAGCGATTTTGCCAACTTTGCGTGCGAGTAGCTCGGATTTTCGCGATGCGCGAGCAAAATTTTGATACGCTGCTCTTCTTGCTTGGCCGGCATTTTGACAACTGAAGAGTGAATTCCAAAATCAAAATAGGAGCAACATTCTACACACACACACCTTCAAAATGAGGGGTGTTCAGGTTTTTTAAATGCAAAATTGAAAGAAATACGTCAAGTTGATAGTGACCAAATTTTGACCGTATCACCCTTTAGTATAACAAGAGAGTCTGCTTCGGCAGGACATATACTTATTCTCACCTGGAGAACTACATATGGTGCTGAACGTCACGCAGAATGGAAAGTCCGAAAACAAACAAAACCTCAGGGCTTGCGTTCGTGAATGAATTGACTCCAATAGTCCAAATAGCATCGAAAGGTTAAATTTATTTAGGTGCGGTATCAATCAATTCCAGCTTCGGCTGGGCATATACTGTAAAATGTATTTACCTGGCTACGATGACCGATGTACGATGCCCAAGCCTGAAGCTATCGTGTTGTCGCTGTCTCGTCTAGTCGTGAGGAAGGCAGCGTCAGAATTGTAGTCGACCGCCCTCAATCATCACCGAATTCCTCGAATGGTGCTCGAAATCAAGTTCTTCGTGAACTGATTCACCACTTCGACGTCCGAATTCACTCGTTGATTCAACAGCAACAGACAACGAATTGAAATGTGGGCGTTAGTAAGGAATATTTGTCGCTTCGGCGGACATATACCAGTTCTTACGTACCTGAACGGTAGTTGAACAACGCTATGGTTGTCTACAATTCTGCTGAGAATCGGTATTGGCCTTGCGAATTCACAATTCCATTCGTAACGATTGTTGCACGTCAGTGATGGCGATTTTCCTCACTGTACCGCAGCTGTTGATGATGATTTCCAGTGATGGTGGCTTTCCTGACGCAGGATAATAGGTGGTGTTGTATGATGGCAATAGATCCCTTTGATAACGGCTTTAGATGGCGATGGGTCTTTTTCAGGGCACTTAAGTATGGCGTAGAACCTTTGTTGCATACGAGGCTGGCGGTGTGCAGCTCGTTCGATGGCGTAATGTCGATGGTTTTGGCAAGATCTTCAAAATCCGACCGATCTGTAGTCCACCGGCAGTGGAAAGATCCGGCTCGAAGGACCAAATTATGTCGGGGACCGTCCCGACCGATTAGTGATGACTTCCACTTGCCAGGCGAACGTTCCTTTTATCCTCCTTACTTGATCCTGTTGCCTTCCGTCATCCGTAGACCTTCTTTCGCAAGCACCAACTACACCAATGTCCACACAAAATACATTTTATTGCCACTAAAACACCGAGCTAAACACTACATCGAATTTTATTAATATACACTAATTTATTACTTTAATTAAAACTAAAACATATATATTTTGCGTACGGGGTTCGCCCCCGGTCGACTACTCGCGACGGTGTACTTTCTAGACTAACTAATTTCCTATATTTACATTTCTATCGCATAATTCTACTTCCCACATTCTTCGGCGAGAAACTCTCTCCTTCTCCGTGCAGTTCGTGCGTAGTAGTGAGTGACCACGGCGAATCGGTTCACTACCACTAGCCACCACACTCAACCGATTTTTAGCACCGTGGAGTACCTAAACTTAGTCAGTGCGGTTGGCTGCATCCGTAGTTTCATGCTGCTCGCAGACACAAATATTATTGAACATCATGAAGATGGGGTGCTATTCAAAATAAATTTAAAATTGAATAGCTAAGGGGCTGTTCATAAACTACGTAGACAGATTTTTGGGATTCTTGACACCCCCCCTCCCCCTGCGTAGACAACTGTCCATACAAAAAATTAAAAATTTGTATGGGCCGTGGATAATTGTCAACCCCCCCCCCCCCCTAAACTGTCTACGTAGTTTATGAACAGCCCCTACCTAAATGTTAACGTCAACCATATGTCCGTCTTACCCACAGTGCCCCTGCAAGAATACTACTCCCGCTGGAAGTTTCCTCAATCCACATCATAAAGTACCAATTCGTCGCAGCGGAAATATGAAAGATGCCATGCTAACTAAACACACAACCTCCAGTGTATTCTTCCCTACAATGTTACGAATGCAAATTGGATGTCGAGTAATACTCAAATACCACCGACCAAACAGGAGCTTCCTAGGGCGACCGACCACCAGTTCACCGACGGTCGACTTTACCGGAAATCAAAATTCAATTTGAGGTCCAGGATGGATGCAACTTATATGCAAATATATCTCGCTGCCTGGTTTGCACACTGATACGGTCGGTGCGAAGATCCAACCAAGATGAACATACATGGGAATGTAAACACGTCAGTGGAAGACTTAAAATCAACCTAATGATAAAGTAAGACTTCCTTCCATCAGCCTGCGTTCAATTTAAAGTAGTGCTCATTATGAAATAAATCACTCTCAAGGCTTAAAAACATGATTTACTGAATTTTAGATCTGAAATCAAACTATTGTGTCATACGAAAAAGGCAAAATAAACTGCGGTGATCAGGCCAAGTGTAAACTCTGTAAAGTTTCAAAGTCACACACATCTTCAAGAACAAACCCAATCGTATATGCTCCACATACTCGAGTTGCAAGAAAGTTTCGAAAATTCACACTATACATATGTGGAACAAATTGCACGCAGCTTGAAGCAGATCCGTGGATGAAAATGGGAAAAGTTTTCATTTATTGACGTCTCCATTTCAAGATTGTCGGTAAAACTTTCCCTTCGTTTTCCCCTTGGAGCTGTATGGTGCCATCATGAGTTTGTAACCGGAAGAATCGACTTCAGGGAAATGTACCAGCTACACTCAGCGAGCTCCTGTACCATGGCGTGAAGACAGTGAAAAGCAACGTCTGCAATTGATTGTGGATGCGATTAATTAAAAAGGAATTTTTCGGAAGCCCTGGCTGAGCAAAAGTCATTGCCGTAAGGGAAGTATGTTTATTCTCCCACCGGATGAATTAGGCCTTTTAGCCATCAGAAAAGATCAATTATCATTTTACGTGACTTACATATTCTACATCTCCAGAATGAGTGCCGGAATTGCAAAAGCGTCATATTTATCTACATTTGGCATTCCGGAGCTGCCTTATAGATTTTAAATGCTGCTGCTGTAAAGTTCTGTCCAGTTAGAATCCGGAATCACTTATTGTGTTGCAGCGGCATGGAAAGTGACCGCTGCAAGTATCATTTTACAGCGGTTTTTTAACCTAGGCGCCCACTTTTTGTGGTATGAATTTCACGGTGTTTCGTGCAGTGAGTCAAAAATTATTCCAGATGGAAGCCGAGAGAAGAGAAAAAATTCTGCACACCCACGTTGATAATCCAACGTGGTCCGCAATAAAAATCGCAAAAACGTTGAAAATCGCCAAATCAACCGTGTATGATGTGCTCAAACGTTTCAGGGAGCAAAAGAG